CCCCCCCCCCCGCGGACCCTGCCCCTAAAGAGCAGAGGATTCCGCGGGCGGCCGGGGCCAGCAAGAGAGCGGGATCGCGGGAGAGGGATAACCCAATCGAGGGCCCCTCTCCCGCGAAGAAGTCAGGGGAGGAGTGCAGAGCTAAGCCATAATGGCTACCCGCCTCCTCCAGGCAAATCTTAACCGCGCTCGCGGAGCTCAGGTGCTCTTTATGCAGTCCCTCCGCGAGCGCGGATGCGGGCTGGGAATCGCCTCCGAGCCACACCTCGTCCCCGGGAGTCACCCCACCATAATGGGTGACGTTGAGGGGCGGGGTGGTAAGTGCTCGGTGGCGATATTCTGGCAAGAGGGAAAAGCCTCTCCCCCGATCTCATTCGTGGAGAGGGGGAGAGGCTATGTCGCGGTCGAGTGGGGGGCCCTGGACGTGGTTGGAGTGTATGCCCCTCCCTCGTGGAACCTCGCTCACTTCGAGCACCTTTTGGGCCGGCTAGGGGACCTCATCTCGAGGCGTCCCCAAAGACCGGTCCTAGTAGCCGGGGACCTCAACGCCAAATCGGCACTATGGGGGTCCTCGGTAAGGTGCCGAAGGGGAGAGGTGTTAGAAGAATGGGTCGCGTCCCACGGCCTCTGTACCATCAACAGAGGCCGGAGGAGCACCTTCGTCGGGCCGCAGGGGAGATCGGTGATAGACGTCACCTTTGCGTCTCCCCAGGCGGCCCGACTAATACAGGATTGGAGGGTGGTGGCCAGCGGAGAAAATCTCACGGACCACAGGTACATTGTGGTCCGGCTGGTCGCCACCCCAGAGGAGGTGCTCCGGAGGCGCGACCAGGGGGGGGCTCGACCACAGAGATGGGCCCTCCGCCAACTCGACCGCGACAAGCTGGCGGCCGCCTTGATGGCGGCCACTTGGACTGAGCCGGGTCCCATTCCGGGAACCCGGTCAGACATCGAGGAGGAGGTGGCTGGGATTCGGGACGTGATGACGGCGGCGTGCGATGCCGCCATGCCCCGATCCCGGCCACACTCCCGCCGGTCCGTATATTGATGGTCGGCGGAGATTGCCGAACTTCGGCGCTCCGCCGGCCAGGCCAGGAGGGCGATGGACCGGCGGGGTCGAGAGGATGAGGACAGGGAGGCCGCCACGGGGGCTTACCGAGAAAAACGGGACGCCCTCAAGGCGGCCATCGCCAAGGCCAAGACCCGTGCCTGGGACGATTTGCTCTCCACCATAGACATGGATCCATGGGGGCGCCCTTATCACATTGTGATGAGACGCTTGCGCAATTGGGCGCCCCCACCGACAGCATCCATGGACCCCGACTTCCTTGACAGGGTTGTAGGGGCCCTTTTTCCATGGGGGGAAGCCTGTATTCCCCCCTACGAGGCCCCCCCCAGACGGGGAGGACGAAGGAGTCGGGGTCACTATGGTGGAGATGGACATGGCCGTCAGGAAACTTGGCGCCAAGAAAAGGGCGCCGGGACCTGACGGCATCCCAGGCACAATATGGGCCTTGGCAATGAGGAACGGGGAGGTGAAGAGCCGCATTATGCGACTCTTCACCTCCTGCCTGAGGATCGGGGCGTTCT